CAATGAAATCCATGTTCTTGTACGAAATCTTTTGTATTTGTGAAGGGTATTATGGTCTGTCTCTTATACACATCTAGATGTGTATAAGAGACAGCATATAATTAGTTAGCACATTTTGCAAAAATACTTTTTTAATTTTATTTAAAAATAAAAATTTCTTAGTCGAAAAATGTTGAAAATTCAACAAGTTAGCAAAATATAATTTTTTATTTTAGTTAATTTGTTCGAAATTCATCAATATTTCCATATTTGCACTCAACCGCTGAAGCATTTCCAATTTAATGCACTCACCCCTCATAGCAATTAATACGAAAATCAATTATATATTTAACTACGCAATTGAACCGAAGCATATGTATTTATACACAAACACACTTAACTGCACAAAATGCATTTGTTCAAACCAAAAGGAAAAAAAAATCCCACGAAATTTGTGTCAACTCGAAAGTACTACTTTAGACTCACATTGAACTCCTCTTTATAAGTAATTACTAAATATTTTATTTATAAAATATAACTTTATCATAACCTCGTGTATACTAAATGCTGTACTTTTGATAAAAACAAAATACAAATTTCATTGTTCCTTTTATACATAAAAAAACATGTTACATTAATTATTTAATTAATTAGATGTTTATGAAATATGACTATTGATTAATTGTAAGAGCGAAAATATTAAAAAGAAAAATAATTAAATAAATAAAAATAAATGAAAACAAAAAAAATGTGTTTTGTGTTTTTTCTTTTTAATTTGGTTAACAAGTGGAGAACGTGAAGTGAAAGTGGAGACTGGCGCTTGTATCTTTACTAAAACTAAACTATATATAAATTATAATTGCACCATTGCTAACATAAAATTTATATTAAAAAGCGAAAAAGAAGGTTGCATTTCTAGAACGAATTTGCAGAGACTATGAGAATCTGACGTCTCCGAGTGACCACTACAGCCTGCAGTAATATTACTCATACGCACTGTGTCACTATTTGAAATACCTTTTTGCTAACTTTAAGCCAACTCAAGGCAATTAAGCATAGTTTGTTGTTATAAAGTAAATTTAATTAGGTTGGGTTGGGTTGGTCGGGCCGTCTCATAGTACATGAGAAGTAGTCATCTTTATGGATGCCAGCGCTTGACGCGAATTTTAATGGGTTCTGCAGCATCACTATCGATACCTAGTCAAGTGTTTCATACTGTGAAGCTCGCAAATGTTTTAATCAGTCCCACTCTGCAGCCATCTACCACCAGGAAACTGTGACCACTTAGTATTCGAATCGTATTCGTACAAACTCTACTTTCAAATGCGATTAAGAATTCTGTGTATTTTTGCGCTACGACTTTTGAAGTGTTGCATTTCGATAGATCATTTTATCAACTTTTAACTTTCCTTGATATGCTCTTGTCTACTTTGTTGCGAATTCAGAGGTTTACCAATATCTGTCAAGTTATCTGATACCTGTACACCAATCTTGCCAAATCCGTCCACTGGTTCGACTAACCCTCAGAAGAAGTGAAGTCACTTGTTCCCTGCAAAAGGCCTGATTACTGCTTGACTGTCTAAGTAGATACTAACTATGGAGTTGACAGCTGATGCATGATAGTTTAACGCCGCAGCTTTCCCAATAGCAAAGGCTATTCTCTGAGCGCCGTTCACTTGGGAGTGGCCAGAATCAACTCTTTTACATATGGCACAAGCAGCTCACAAAAAGCATCCGTTTGAAAGCAAGCTAAAGTGAGAAGGCGAAACAAACCTACCCAGAACTTGTACGCCAGGTTTGGGACGCGCCACGTAAAAAACACCCACAATGAAAGAAAAGAAAAGAATAAAAGTAGTCCTATTCTACAGAAAAGTGTTTCTTAGTTGACTTAGGATTCCCAACGAGCTTAACGAGTATGAAGATGAGAGCCAACTCTATTGATTTTTCTGATCTGATTTTTCTCGCTCTTAACTTTTGGTCCACTAATTAGTATATCTTGATAATGAAAGATAGAAAACCATACAAATATAAATTTTTTTGGTAAAAAAAACTTCAAAATGCATGTATATATTATATACATAGTACTTATATACTTACATATAATATAATATATATGTATACAGACAATTTTTTCTAATTTAACAAATTAATGCTCACACACATTATCTGCTAATACTTATTTACAAAATTAAATAACAAAACGCACACAAGCAAACAAATGTGCCACATTTATGATGATCATACGTTATGTAATCACTAAATTAACACTTTTGCCATTTTCTATATATTTTTCCTTGTATTTCTCAAACATCTCTTTCAGCTGGTCAATGACTTGCTGATGAATTTTGTCCACATACTCGGGGTCGGGAATGTCGTTCCTTTCGACTTCAATGGGCTTACCAACTGTAAAAATTGTTCAAAATTACTCTACAGTTATGATTGCTATTGGTTTTTGTGTGATAACTTACCAACTTGCACGATATGCTTGCGCTGCGGCAGAAATCCAAAAGTATACTGGAAGAAGCCGCGCCCCAAAACAATCAAAGGCGAGATGCCTGTTAGTCGCTTGGTTAAAGTTTGGAAGCGTCGCAACCATGAGTTTGGTGGATTATTGACTTGGTCGAATATCTCCACTTCGCCGAAGGAGAATGTCGGTACAATTGGTGAGCTAATGAAATTGAAAAAGAAAACAAAAAACAAAAAGTATATATACTATAAATGGAGAAAGCCTAAGAAATTAAGATTAAAGGAGAAGACTTTTAGATTTAGGTTTTTCGTCATATTTTATGCATCAGAACTTGAAGAGTGCCGAATCGAACATTCATTTGACAGAAATCAAATAGTTTACCTTCTAATGTGGTCAACAGAGAGTTAGGGTAAACCACGCAATCAACATCAATATCTTTGAATGAAAACAGTTGCCTTGAAATCGAAGAGAAATATAATTAATTAATGAACCGCTTCTCATTCTTTATTGGTAGACACCGCATACGCGATTATAACCGAATTTACAACAACGCTTTTTGACGCCAATTGGAGATTCAAAGTGTAGCCAGGTCCTTCTACTCCTGATCTTACCAACGTAGTGAAGGTCTCCCTCTTCCTTTTCTTCCCGCCCGGGTACACCGTCGAATACTCTCTGAGCCATTCGAACGACATGAGCTAGCGCAATCCCGCCACTATATTACAATATATGACTATGGGCCGTCTGGTAAGCAAAATAGACATCGTCAAACTGTCCAAGAACTTCGAGAAGATGAGAAAGTATCTGGACAATTCACTCATTTAAACACCTTATATCAGGTTGTTAAAGTCCTTAAAAGCATTCTAGATACGAGTTAAGTGTTGGTACGGGTTAGGTTTGAATCCCGATCGAGCTGTGTCCAGCTCTTACAATTTACCCTAGACCAGAAGAACCTTGCGACAGCACAAATGCTGGTTTTTACTGATTTGATACGAAGGCCACCAATCCATTAATGAACAAAATGCCAACGTAACGCCTATCCTTTCCTACTCGACAGTTATTGAGACTGCAGTTCTTGCCATACCAAGCACATCAACCCCACAATTTCTTGCAATGCCATTATGACCAGTCTAATTACAAACTAACTCCAAGCTAGAGATATGGAATCGAGATATATTTTCACTACTTTCTAGATACGCAGTCTACGTGCCATATGCACTTTATAGTTTTATAATCCAGCATAAAGAAAACAATCTTTTAGTGCTTTATAATCACGCTTATCGCCGGCGATTGCGCTGTCAATGCTTTGTAGTAACAACTAACAGCTGCATATTACAATAAAAATACACCCAATTGTTTGATTTATAACACACTATCACCACAAACTCACCCTGTGCGTATGGCCAATTTGACAAAACCTTTGCGCCTTTTCAGTGTAAGTATATAACGTCCCGGATGTGAGTCCAAGGCCTCTTGAGCGCCACCCACCAAAATGGCGACAGCATTCGAAGTAAAACCATCAAGATTGTCGGGATGTTTCGGATGATTCGAGGCTGATAGATAATGCATCAATGACTCCTTAGAAACTGACACCATACCCCAGTAACGTAGCGCCTCGCGAAAAATGGGCGTGTAAAAATGCATATCTAAAGTGCCGATTTTGGGACGTATGCCCGGAAATAGTTTCAACCATTGCCGTATATCCCTGCTCATATTGCAAGTGATGCCGGTACTAATTTGCGAAAAGAAAATTTAAAACGAAATTAAAATAATATTTGCGAAACTTTCTCAATAAACAAACTTACCCGATTATGCCATGTGGAAAGCTGGCCAAAATGTAATTGTGATCGGCGCTCAAATCGGCGGTTTTAATCAACTCAATTGGGAAGTAATCACGAAAGTGTTTCCATATACAATTACTACGAAAAATCATAAAGCTGCAATAAAAGGAATAAGTGTTTTACTACGAAGCTTAATAAAAGTTTAAGGACTTAAAGGCTTTTAAGCGTATTTTTAGTAAAAACTTAATGATATTAGCATTAGATAAACTTAAATGGTCACATACCCATTGCCATGAATATCACTGAAATTCCTCGTATGATCGAAATAAACAAAAGTCAAGTATGCCAGAGTCAAAAGCTTCCAAAATAGATTACCATAATACTGAAATTATGTAAAGCAAAAAAACTAAAATAAATAAAATTTAAAAAAAATATTAATATAAATTATGAAGTGAAAAGCCTAAATTATTGAAGTTATATATATATATATATATATAGATAAATACAGAATCAAAACCAGTTTGACTTAAGTGAAACAAAGTCCAAAATTTTTCCTTATTGAAAGGTCTTACACTTTCTCAAAATTTCTGAAACATTTTCTTCAACGTTTCTGAATTAATCTGAATCACTCTGGTCATATATAGCCGACTGTCGTAGAAACAGCAAAGTAAACCCCCGAAGGCAACTCTAGAATCATTGAGAAAACACCTTTTAATCGAAAAATTATTGATTTTTAAATTTTAAATACTTTCCAAACTGTCAAATTTTTATTGGTTGTCAAATATCTCCCTTCCGCTTTTTCAAATCTAGACGGCAACTTCGCAATACCCCGCTCGTAGAAGCCCCCCTCCTTATTTGCGAAGAACTCGAACAGCTACTTTTCACTAGCCTATTTTGAGTTCAACTTTACACCAACAAGGGTCTTTGCCATGGATAGGAACAGGTGGTAATCACTTGGCGCTGTGTCCGGGCTATATGGTGGATGCTATAAAACCTACCATCAGAGCTCCCGTAGCTTCTGACGAGTCATCAACGAAGTGTGTGATCTGGCGTTGTCCTGGTGGAACACTACATCCTTACTGTTGGCCAATTTTGGACGTTTCTGGTCGACCGTCTGCTTCAAGCGGTTTAGTTATTCGTAGTAGATGGTAGAATTAAGCTTTCACTACGGCTTTCGACTACGAACGTTTTCGCCTGATATTGTCATATGCGATCCGTTTTTCGTCGCCAGTCACCATCAGCTTCAAAACTGGTTCGAGTTCGTTCCGTTTCAGCAGCATTTTCGCGTCAAATCATGCGGCACCCAAACATCAAGCTTTGTATTCAGCTATCTGCAGATAGTTTAAAATGGTTTGGCGACTAACTGCCATTTTTTGGGCGATGTCACGAGATGCCACATGTCGGTCTAACTCGATGTTTTCCGTAATTTGATCGATATTCGTCGTCACAGGACTTCCGAAGACTAGCTTAACCATGGTGTCGTTTTCACAAGCTCTGATTCGTCGAAATCATTCCTCCGCAGTTCAAAGTGAGTACCATCCCCCCAAAAACCCCATTAATCTCACGGAACGTTTCTCTAGTGGATTTGCCTTTAACGAAAGAAAACTTTAAAATAGCGCGATATTTGGCGAAATTAACTCCATATTTACACGTCTATCACTGTTGAACGCAATATCCAAACTAATCGTGCAGACAAATTTATTGGAATTTTTTCTTTGGGTTCAATAACATCTTACGAGAACTCCAAATTTTTACTACTTAATGTATTCTTCGCTCTTTGACACTTAAGAAAGGTTGGCAGAATAAAAATAATTTCATTCACAGCTTAAATGACAAACATGTTTAAAGTTTTTGGCCTTACCTACCAGGATCGTCGGAACAATATGGTTTCAAGAGTAAAAACCATTCGATTATTAAACTTTTCTCGGACTTGTGTTTATAATGGTCTAAATAGATATAATAATAAATCTAACATATGACGCGAGAAAGGTACGATTTCGTACTAAAAATTACTTCCAAGAAAAACTATTTTCTAATCGCTTACTCAGTATTGTTTGAGTGCGTGTCAAAGATGGGCGCCAACAATTAGAAAGTATACCACATAGGATGCTTGGAAAGGCAAGAATAATGGAAGTTGTTGAGTCAGACCATCATGTAAGTTTCGGTTCAGTTTCCCTGGAGCACAGCAAACATTTAGATCCATGGACCAAATTTCCATATGCAAACCGTAGCTCAAACGCAACGAAATCGGTAAAAAGATCACGTCCAGGTCAAGTCCAACAAGCAGTGAAGGAAATACGAAGACCGTGGATAGGCCATTAGGCGCGGTTCACGTCAACTCACAGAGATCTTAAATTCAATTCAGATTCAAGAACTGCCGATTCATCCAAAAAAAACAGCTTCCTTAGGTTCAACTTTCCCCGCTTCATATTTCATGAAAATAATGCAAGGGAGAACGTAACCGTCAATGACGACCGTTATCGCGCCATGGCAACCGATGCCTGAATTCGAAGGGATCTCAACGATATTTGCTTTCAACAAGGCAGCGCCACTTCCCACACATCACATAGATCAATGGATTTATTGAGAGAACACTTCGGTGAGCAGGTAATTTCCGGTCGACCGTTAGACTTTTCCTGTGAGGACATGTAAAGTCTAAAAAATAAAATCTATGCAGATAATGTCTCTTCGATTCAGGCCTGGGAGCAAAAGATCACACCTCATTCGCCAGTTACCATCACTCAACTAATGGACTATCTGATTCTTAACCGCGGCCAACATTTAAAAAACTAAATGTCAAATAATATTTTTTCGAATGATAATAAACCAACAATACTAAATTTAAAGTTTATGTGTTTTTTTCTTTAAAAAAGTATGCTGCTTCGAAGCAAATAATAATAGTTTGGATTTCACCAGCTCTTCCAATTTAAGTTTAATTATTTTGCTTTGTTCTATTTTCTCTTCTCACTATTTTTTAACAAATATTACCTTAAGTGATAACATTCAAGAGCAATTCTCTCAGCATTGCAATATAAATACACTTCAACAAAAGAAGAATGAAACTTACCAACAACGATGTAATGATAAGTAACGATAAGCCCGGCATAAGCATAAATATCATCACGTAGAGACCTGCAGCGAGGGTCTGCAATCGTCGCTTTGGTGGCACATGCACGGGTGCCCACTCAATTTTCATTGTTTTTGTTTCTTTATATTATCACTATAGAATGGTATTAATGTGTTGCGGCTTTTTGTATTCTAATTTATATTAAACCCTCCTCTTCACGATCCTATCGAAACGTTCAACTTCACGCAACGTCTCAGTCACAACTGAGGTGACCGAACACTTTCTTAGCATGAAATAATAAAATAATAATAAGTCAATTAAAAAGAGCATACAATTCACTTTATCAAACTAAATTTCTTCGATTACCAAAACTCGCAAAGCAATAATTGTTCTCGTTCAACCACGCGTCAATTGGGCATGCGCTTCAATACTAAATACTCAAGCCATACATAAAGTACATGTTCTACTGATAAGCGTTTTAGAATATATGGAACTAATTAAAGATTTTTGATTTCATGACCACTAGCTTAGCTTACGCATATATTTGTCTGGCAACCAATAGACGAAAAAATACGAGGGGTGTTGGAAAATTCAATAAGGTTTTTGATTTGCTACGTTTTAACTCTTTCAGCGGCGGCGGTGCCACTTATTTCTTAACATTTTCATTTATTCCAAGTGACTCATAGGTTTAAAATGTGTACCAAATATTGTAACGGATTAATGTTGCTATCATGTCAAATTTTCAGGTGCATTTTCTCTGTTTTGTGTACCAAATATTGTAACGGATTAATGTTGCTATCATGTCAAATTTTCAGGTGCATTTTGTGAAAAAATGCAGAAAATATTATTAGGTTAAGTATTTATTCATTTTAAAAATTATGTGAAAGTGCTTAGCTTATTAGGAGTAATTTTTGTAGTGGTACTCATTTAAAACCACCTCGAGTTCTGTACTGAAAAATATTTTTTTTTATTTTTGAACACATAATATGGCCAAAATACCTGAGTTATGAAGAAATAAGGGAATTTTTTGACGAATTTAGATTCGATTGTGCTGAAATCGCCTCCGACTTAGAATCAATTGAGGACGACACCGTAGATTCTGCTCATCCCATGCATTATTTCCGACGAGGGCATACCATTGTCAATTATTTCCTCAAGCACATTTATAAGACAGTAATTTTGAAGTTCAAAATTTGCAGCCAATTGGAGTATTTTTTCTACTTTTTGGATATTTGCATAGTCAATTCATATATTTTATAAAATTAACGAATCAACCCTCGCTAAAGCGTAAAGAAATTCGGCTTGAAATAATTGAAGGGTTCCTATCAGAAACAGATGTAACTATGGATATGCGGAACAAGCAATATTCGACTATGTCTATCGAAGATAAAGCATGCTTCCAAGAGTATCATAAAGTTGACAGCAACGGCGGTGGTCTATAATTTGAACCACACGAATTTTCTAAATTAAAGCTATTTGCTGTCCTCTCAAAAATGTTTGATTTTGTTTTTTAATTTTTACGGCATATTACTCATAATTATTTTGAAGCTGTTCAAATTGCGACGTAGTTCGTACATATTATTAGCTTACATACAGAGATACATATGTATATCTCTCTTAGTCGAGCTGCTCTACCTGTTTGCGCTGTTCACCTTTTATTCGACAAATTTTAGTCCAAACCTGAAGAAACTACATGCTCCCGTGAAAGTACTTAATTTTCAAAAACTTACTCTCTTATCAAACTTGTCTCGTACAAATTTCAATCAAAATACTTGCTACTATGTCCAAAAATATCTAAATATAGCGATAATATACTCGTATGTAGTGAGAAGTTTAAAAATAATATGTATTTTACATACAAATACGTACTATTTATACATATTATATATACTATATCTAAATCTACGCTAGATTATGAGATTCACACATAATTCCTCGTATCTAATCTATTAAGGGTACAAAGTTGATAACAGATATTAAAAGCGTTCGATTTGCTTAACGGAACCAATGAATATCTGTTGAAGTAATGCTGAAATATAGCCCAGTCTTTATTGTATATTATTTAGTATGTTATATGTTATGCATTAGTATTAAATTTAATTTAATGATAAAATATCAAAGCTATCAGTATATGCTTTGGTTTCCATGACACTGCCAAAATCGAAACTTGGATTCTTTAAACTACGTAATGCCCTACAGCGGTGTTCTTTATCGCATTTTCCACAAATTTAATCAACGAAAAAAGTTCTAATGGGATTTGTAAAGCAGATAAGAGCCACAAAATGCAATATTACTGAATATCTATCATTGTTTCACAAAAATATATCATATATCCCAGTAACACTGTTTAATATTTATTTTAGATAAGTTGATATCTTTGAAAAAAAAACGAGTTTTTGTTATCTGTAATGATGTATGTTAGACCAGTTTAAAATTCAAATAAAAATTGTTGATTTCTTCATCAACAATGCGTCATAAAAATATTAGTATGCAATGACTAATTGCATTTGTATTAATGCACTTGTAGGCGTATAGAGAATTGAAAACAAATGCTATGATCGGTTTAGAAATTTATCACGAATCAATTATTATATTATTTTGTACTTTAGTTTTTATTGTAATGTTTTTGCTCTTTTGATATATTGTACACACGATCATTTCTATCTGATTGACATCTTGACATCGCTGATGAGACAATTTTACTTGCCAATAAGCGCGTGGAAATGTAAATACCGTGTTTTCCAATAGAGAATCGTTTCGTGTCGTTTCGGTCATTTATAGTATGCCATGACAAGTGTTGCTTGAGACCGCAATTTGTGGATTCCAAGAAGTTCTCAGGTATTGAGACTGGGCTAAAGCACAATGTGGCGGATGTTGAGAAAGGATTTGGGCTTGCATTCATATAAAATTGTTCTCACTCAAAAACTGAAACCATCAGACCACCGCAAACGTCCTTAATTTTCTGATTTTGCCTTGAAACAACTTGAAAACGATAATGATTTTTTTAAGAAAATCATCTTCTCACTTACATCTAAGAGGTGCGGTAAGTAGACAAAGCTGTCGATTCTGGTGCGAAAAAAATCAACAAATTATTCATGAACAACCGTTACATTCATCTAAATTGGCCGTTTGGTGTGTTTTTTGGTCTGGTGGTATCATCGGTCCGTACTTATTTTGACATGGCAAAACTGAAGCCATTCGACCTTCCGAAACGACGTCGTTTCGCTCTATGGACACTTGAAAAGTTCCAAAAAGATCCGACGTTTTCGTTCAGTGATGAAGCTTATTTCTGGATTAAAGACGGCGCCACCTTCCACACATCGCATCAATCAATGGATTTATCGAGAGAACACTTCGGTGAGTAGATAATTTCACGTTTTGGGCCGATCGGTTGACCAACAAGATCGTGTCATATCAAACCGTAGACTTTTTTCTGTGAGAATATGTAAAGTCTAAAGTCTATGCGGATAAAAAAATTGGACTCAACGGATGAAAAAATTGGACTCAACGGATCGACCATCTGAGATGTAGCCGCAGCCAACATTTGGAATTGATAATACTCAAAAAATAAATGCCAAAGAAAGTTCTTTCGGATGGTAATAAACATTCCTCATAAAAGTTTCTTTGGACATGTAAACTAGTCCCTTAGTTTTTGAGATATCGCTTTGAAATTTGGAGCACGTCCTTTTCTCTCTAGAAGCTGCTCATTTGAAGGAACCGCCGATATCGGAACACTATAGCATATAGCGGTCATACAAACTAGCCAATGAAATCCATGTTCTTGTACGAAATCTTTTGTATTTGTGAAGGGTATTATGGTTGACAGTTTTTTCTTGTTTCAATATTATTTTAGCTAGTTGTTTTCCCCACAGGGTATCTTTATATTTCGTTAAGCTGTAGTATTTTCTTGAAACAATTTGTTCTATGAATTAATCACAGTGGTTTTCGACTTATTATTATTTTTTGTTTCTTGAAAATTAAAAGTAAATATTTGAAAGCGAATTTCTGTGGCAAATGTGAAGGTTAGCAGCTAAATTAAATAAATGCTAATTAAGTGCTTAAGTACAGGGTAATTTTATGGAACGCCTACAATGCAAATATATATACGTATCCACGACTATAAGTAAATATGTATGTATATATGAACACACATTGTTTACACTTTGCATGCGTTGTCATTTGTTATTGTTGCCTGAAAAAAACAACAACAACACATATTATAATTAACAATTTTACTGGATCAAAAGTTTAATTTATTTTTGTTTGGAAAGTTTTTTTTCGCGACCATCGAAAATTAAACGCGCACTTTTTGGCACAAATTTTGTTAGAAGTATGTGTATATAGTACATTCATACTTTGAAACATACATATATGCTTGCGTGTGTACATATGTATGTATGATAAATTTTAATTTATTGCTCGATGATTTGTAGCACTATTTCAATATCTTTATTTGAGAACACTTTATAGGCACCAGTTTATATAAAAACAAAAATTAAAATACATTTCTTTGCACTCTCGGTGTGATTTGAATATTTCTCCAACAATATTCAAGGCAAAAAATTTATGTGTAATATTTTCAATCGCTTTAGAATAAAGAAAAATATTTTCGTTTCAATTATTTTTATTTTTATTTTTATATATTTATTTTATATTAATTATCACTTTCTTTATTATTGCTTTTTTAGTATTTTTCTACCATTTTATATTCATAGAATTAGAATTTGTATTATCGTCTACACAAATATTTTTACACAACCGTAAACAAATTGACGTCTGTAAGTAATGTCGTAAAAGCACATAAAATAAATTTCAAACGTTCTCAACTGACACTCGTAAGCGGCGATTTGCAACGACTAACAGCTTGTAATGCCTTCGAATGATTATTTGATACAACGTTGCGAATAGCGAGTCGTTGTTAGCGATGTGTCGAATAGTCGTGTTCGGTTGCGATTACTTATACATAATAATTGTGTTAGTTAAGGGTACTGAAAGTAGTATTTTATGAAATAAAAATATACTAATAAGAATTAAAACAATAATTTTCATAAAGAGGAAATACATTTTTTTGACGAAATTCGTTTTTTATTCAATATGTTTACCTTCAAGGATGATGATTATAGCGACTCTCCAACTTATCAAAGTAGGCTTCAGTTTCGGCGATCATTCAAGACTTCATGGGTTTTGCTTATTGTTTTGAGATCTGAAAACAGGAAATTATCGCTGAGGACCGCTTCTACAGAATACGGTGAATGCGGAAGCAATTCGAAACCCAATTCATGAATTTTGAATATTGTTTTGAGATCTGAGAACAGCAAATAGTCGCTAAGGGTAGATCTATAGAATACGATGAATGCGTAGGCAATTCCAAGCACCATTCCTGGATTTTGATTATTCTTTTGAGGTCTAAGAACAGGAAATAAGTGCTGAGGACCACTTCTGGAGAATACGATGAATGCGGAAACAATTCGAAGCCCAATTCATATATTTTGATTATTCTTTTGAGATCTGAGAACAGTAAATAATTGCTAAGGGCCAGATCTGTAGAACACGGTGAATGCGGAAGCAGTTCGTAGCTCAATTTAATTATTTCTGCCATCGTTTTCGCTGACCTGTGAGACGGTGCATTATCTTAGCGAAACAGCACTCTCTTTTTCTTCAAATGCAGTCATTTTTCGGCGATTTCATTCTTCAAACAGTCCAATGTAATACTATGTAATAGTCCCTGCTAATGAGCCTTCCCATTTCAAGGTGGTCAATAAAAATTATCCTCTGCGCATCCAAAAATACAGACACCATAACTTTTCCAGCTGACTGTTGCATTTTTCAACGCTGTGGAGCGGGTTCATCGAGTGCAGTCAGATGACTGAATGATCAACTCGCCGCTGTTTTTGATCAAAGGTGAGCTCACGCGGCTTCCACTTTGCACAGAGCTTTCTGTTACCGAAATTTTCTTGAATAATATAATGTACACATTCAGTTGATAACTTTAGAGCATGTGCTATCTGGAACAACTTCGCTTTGAGGTCATCCAAAATTATATATTTTCTGGACTTTTTTAATGTTTTCGTCGGTAACAACCTCTTTTGGACGTCCACTGCCTGCACTGTCCTCGGTGCCCTTTTCGCCTCGTTTGGAAGCAAGCTACTTCTCAACGGTTAATTTCTCGAATGCAGAGTCCAAATAAACTCAACTCAAACTTGGCTTTCAACTGTATTTTTTCCCTCTAAAAAACTATATTTTACCAAAATGCGAAATTCCCTTTTTTAAATTTTTTCACAATAACAAAAGTTGATTCACTTAAAGAGATATAATTCACAAACTAATGATCCGACAGCTGTCAAATTAATTCATGTATCTTTTACAGCGAACTAAAACTTATATTGATTTTATTCTAGGTGTCAGGCAGGGGACTTTTCAATTGACCTGGTATATTTTGTAGGATCTGCGATGCTTTCTTCTGGGGGTCAAGAGTGGTTCCCGTCAACATGAAGACCGATGAACCTTATGATATCATAGCGTTTATCGAAGGACTGCATTTTTCGTACTGGATTTCAAAGTAAAGAATTTAATTTCAATTTTTACAGAAGTGTGAGAGAAAGTAATTAGTTAATCCAGAAGTTTAAAAGTATCTTCACTTCATAGACGAATATATATGAGTTCGATTTTTTCAAATGTGTTTATTCCTTGAGTTGATATGTTTTTTGATCGAAAGAAGGTTCATAGAAAATTTAAGAATGTAGTTAATTTACAATTTCTCAGTTTTTACTTCTCCATAGTTCCGAAAACATTCCAGTTATTAAAAGATAAAGGAATACTATACTCTAATGATATCTTCAAAATTCATACTGAAAAATAACGTTAAGATCAAGATCACATCAAGGTTAGAACTTGATAGGAAGGACATTTATGTAAGCAAAAATTACTGAGTATCATTTTTCGAACTCTGTTATTCAGTTTTTTAACGAAATTAGTAAAAATACAGTTAGTTGCGTCTCCATGTCCAGAAAATTCGTCTGAACGGATCCATATTTTTATCCGACTAAGCACATTCAATGATTTCTACCGCAGCTACCATACCATAGTATTTTTGTTTTTCAAAAATTATCAAAAGCACCGTTAGTTCCGCTTCCCGAACCCCTACTATCAGCTCCAACGCCAGCGCAGCGCGAACGAATTTACAGCGCGGTGAAGCTTCTGTTCAAACCAGTTGCATTTAAAGCGCAAATTCTCATAAATTTACATATTTGCATACATATGTATATAAATGTATGTCTGTATGCAGTATGTGCGCTTACATATAATAAATATTAAATGAAGTAAAGTGTCCGTATGTATGATTTCTACGTTTGCAAGGCATTCTCTGACGCTTTCATTGGCTTTATTTTGTTTTACGATTGTTGTTGTATTTGTTTGCAATTTTTAAGTATGTATGCGTGTGTATGTGTCATAGTTGATCACTGGTGACCGTGAGTGACGTTTGCATCGCGTCACCGCTGGGCAACTCGCTTGCTGCCGCCTGCTTGGCAGCTGATAAAACGATCGAATTGTATGTGCGAGTAATTTAGCGAGGAATTTTTTCCACACTTAATTTACTTTACAATAACAACAATATACACGGAGTTCCTATGTTTCTTCACTTATTTTTTCGAAACTATAACTATTACTGTTATCAAGCGTCTGGGCAGTTTGGGAAAGCAACGGTCGAAATTAGGGGTCTCAAATGATGTTCCATGGATTATCTGGAACTACCACATAAATATATGTGTACATGCGCCTCGCTATGATTTACCGTTTGAAAAGATAAGTATGCTTGTATGTATTCATACACTATTTGGACTATGAGCTCTCTTATCGGTCTTAAATTTTAAACAAGTGATTCATTATCTACGTTTGGAAATCCAAGTAGCTGGTCAAGAGTTCGACTTTGTATCCAAAACTACGTATATTTCAGTAAAAAAGTGATTATCATTGCCCACTTGTACGCTTTGCCACTTTTATGACTAAATTAAAGTGTTATTTCCGAAGTTCGTAATCTCTAAATTGGAATTTCAGATGCTTCTGAACTCGGTACTTACTCATATATATAAAGGGTGTTTTATAGAGTTTTGGAATTATCAAGAACAAGAATTTCAATCTATCAACACATCTGTTAAAGTAAACATACAGAGTTTTGACATTTATGTTCAATAAACTTTGGTCTGCAAAGACTTACTCCGGTAATTAATTTAATTGAAGAAGATTTTTTATTGTAGCTCAGAAAATACATTTTGGATTAACGTGTGCTAAGACAGCCGGAATCGGCAGCATTTTGAAGTACTGATAATGTTGAAAAGATTCTGCCGGCTCCCTTGTGTCAAACAAAATTAATTATCTGTCTCAAATAATTCGGGATATTTTGGTTACACACGCCAACACAACTCTTCTAAGTGCTAAATGGATCCAACAAGACGTCACAACACGCTCTATAGCGCACGAAATCAAGATATGGCCCTGTCACTTTTTGCGGCGTTACGTCAAGACAATGGTTTATGGTGATCCTGCCCGTTTAGAAACAAATATTAGGTGTGTTATTGACGAGATAGAACCGGTTCTACAGGAAAAAGTATTTGAAATAAAACCGAAGGCAGGAAAAAAGAGTACACGATAATGCTAAAGACTTTAGGGGACCATCACCTTCATCCTGAAGGCCATAAAAAGGCTATTGCCCGCGAGTATTGAACGAGCGCTTAACCCTAGTGCGGACCAAATTATCTCACTTTCAACTTCCTCAACTTCGTGGTAATACATTTCTCTGTCCGCCAGCAATATGTGAAGGTCGAGATAGATACCAAATTTAACTGGAAAATTAATATTGAGAAACGTATTAGTAAAGCTTACACATGGTGGCAAAAGAGTCCTCGGAAATTGTAATTAAATTCCCCATGTAAATGTGAAGTGAAAAATATGGTGATGGAAAATCATTAGGCTAGTGTTGGAGAGATGGAAAAAGAGCTCGACAACTTTCTCGAGTCCATTCGAATGATTATGAAACGCGTTTTTGCGCGACTCTTTACCAGGACGAATATTTTTCAAAAAGAGTACCATAAACAGATCTCTTTGAACATGCTTAATCGTGCGAATTCCAATATAATAATAATAACAATAAATAAACATTAAAAAAATTATTTTGTATTTATTTATAAAAAATAAATACGGGCCCGATTAGGTAACTTCAACATTAAAAAAACACGAAAATCTGTAATTTTTCGGAGGGTAACACTGAGACGAGTTCACCTTAAGTCAAGTCTAACTCATGCGCTTAATATGCTCCTCCACCAACTGCCCATAGACGTTTTCATACAGAAAGTGGCAAGATTATCGTTCTTATAACTAATTAATAATATTCTGCTATAAGAGATTGATGATTCGAGCAGAAAAACATATGGAAAAACATATACGCAGCGAAATTCTGAATCAGATCGGTACTGGTATAAATAAATCAGACTACATCCTCCCAAGATTGGATTTTAATAGTTAGTTCAAGGCGAGAATTTCCTCTAGACGTTAATGACCAAGAGGTTTAGTAGAGAAGAAGAATATTCTTAAGAATTAAATCTATACCAAAGGGTTACAAATGGATTGCATTGTAGTTACAGGGATATACTCCGAGGATCTTTATATCTCTCTATCTTTCCATCTAACAAACCCAACTAACATTTTCCAAGCGGTAGTAACATACATACCGGTAGTACCAGGCTTAGAAAAGGCGGGTAGAGTTCTATTGAAAAACTGCAGGAAGATAGAGAAAGCGACCATTTACACAGGCAGCATAGCGGAACTGCTAGCCTTGTCGTCACCAAATAGCGATTCCAACTTAGTAAATGTGGAAGGCTTTAAACTCACTGGCAGGTGAACTGCACTCATCCAAAATTTGGATTTTCGGCATAAGCGCATCTAAACGGATTCGAGGGAGAGACAATACCGTGCCCGTTAGGTATGATCACAAGGGAGCTTAATGTAAAAAAATTTGAACAAATAGCTCAAAATTGATGGAAATTTAAAACCAGCTGCAGCATAACGAAACAGATATGGACAGGGAATGGCAGGTCCAGGAAAGTTATGTACAGACTTCCAGCTACCATAACGTGACCTTGGCCATTTGGAAAATATGCTTGAAATAGGGATATGCCAACAACGACGGCTAGCAACTGCAAACTTGAAGACAACAAGGAAATGGCTCTGCACGTCCTCTGTGAGTGACCAGTTGTATCACGAACCAGATGTCGAACTTTTGACAAAAGTACAGAATCCAGCGGTCTCGAATAATAAGTGGAATTCAGTCATTAAATATCGGTCATATGGACCAAAGCAACGTTCCTTCTTTACGTTATGTAATACATTTTTTTCCAAAATTTTATTTCGTTCTTCTTCTTAAAGCTTCAACTTAATTTCTGAAATCTCATGCGCGGAGCAGAGAAAGCAACAAAAAGTGTAATTGGTTTTGGGGCGCCTTGGAAGCGTTCTCCAAACGATTTATTTTGTAATGACCTCTCCATTGCCGAGTTCAAATGATATTATTAAGATATTAACAGTCAACATTACACAGGTCAACATTGCACAGTTGCAATGCATTTGCTTTTAAAACATGTTTTTCAAGTTTTCAATAAGAATTTTGCACCATGACTCTTTAATTACAGGCTTGTGAGATAATTCTTATTGCTGCTATGAAATTCTTTTGTACACATGTGCATACAAACATATATACAAATATGTTATGTATTTACATATATATATTCGCAATTAATAGCTAAATTACAGCTACAACGATTACTAATTAAGGAGCCTTGGAACATGTCGAAGTAATTGAATATTTAAACTTCGGTCATTGACTTTCGTTGGGGCACGATCAATGTTGTGCATACGAGAATTTACAAAGAGACTCCATAATCAATACATTGTGTGTAAAACTCTAGTTGAGTCTCTAAATTTACAGTTATTGCAGATATTACAAATGAGAACCCAGTTGGTATTCACTTTTTTCTTCTTCTTTATTGACATCTACACCACTTACACGGATATAATCGAATTTCACTTCTTCAAGTGGGATTATATACGCCTTTCTACAATCAATATTTGAGAGAAGACAGATTCCGAAATACATGAAAATGGCGATCACGAATTTGGAAATTTAAACACTACCCGAAAATGTACCAAGAAATAAGAACAAATAATTAGAATAATGATAATACTATAGATAATATGATATTACAATTAGCAATATTACTTAATTACAAGTTTAACATTTTCGTAATTTTCGATGTAATTAATTTTGTGTGTCTCAAATAAATCTTTTACACCTTCAATGACTTTTTGATGAATTTCATCCACATATTCCGGTTGGGGGTTATCATTTTGTTGCACTTCGATTGGTTTGCCGACTGTAAGTTTATAAAAATAGCTCAAAAAGTATTGAATATTGTAACGATTACATGCAGTGTTACTCACCCACTTGTACAATACGGCGCTTGAATGGAAGCGGAAGGCCACCACGCCCCTTTACAAGTATTATCGATATGCCCAGTAAGTATTTCACTGCCAATTGCCAATGCAAAGCCCATTTCCCATCCCAACGCTCGAAGCTGTCCACCTCACCGAAAGTGAAACATGGAACAATAGCAGCACTAAGGATGAGAGAACGGATGTCTACTTATATACAAACACTTTAAATGGTACGAATGATCTTCAGTAAGCAGAAAATAATAAAAAAAAATATAGTATTCTGAAACTACAAATATTGTCAAGTCCAACTACTCGATATTATCCTCGATTTGCAAACTATATTAGACCGAGCATTTCCTCCTTCCCAAATAGAAGTCGCAACTTACTTTTCCAACTTTTTCGTATTATCTGGCAACTATCCGATCAAAAACTATATTATCAACAAATTATTTCCAAAGGACTATTTCGAAAATGGTCAGCAGAAATTAATAAATTTAAAGTTTTACTTATGAGAGGAGTCCACCAGCTAGCGAAGTTTCAGAGATAGCAAAGATACGAAGCAACCAGACAGTACCTATATAAATATAATGTGTACTTAGAAGAAATACATTTTTTGCATTAAATTGAAGCTTTAATTTAGCATAGTTAGAATGATCGAATTTAGGTCAACTATGCACCGCTTTGTCCACAAATTTCTTGTTATTTTGAAGTTAATTCCATAATGTCACTCTCATAGAAACCCTAGTCAATATTGAGAAAGTCCTTCCCCGTAGACAGGAACAGATTCGGACTGTAAGGTGGAGGAATATGAACCCAGGGTTTCTAGCGATTCACTATCGATGTGTGTGGCCAAGCGTTGTCCTGATGGAAAACAATTTCTATTCTGTTATCTAAAGCTAGCCGCTTCTGATCAATTACTTCAATCAGATAGTCCAATGGTTGACAGTATTAAGAGTTTAGCCGTAGGCAAGCAGCCCAAAGTAGATTATTTCCTTCCAATCGCTCCAAACCTAAAGTAAAATTCTCCTGATCATTAATACTACCGCGGACAGCTTTGCGCCGGCTCACAGCAATTCAATCACGACCGTTTCCGCCTATCATAAGTGAATTGATCGATTTGCTTGCGTTTCATCAACGTCTCGCAAAATAGAAACTGGATCCATGAGCGAAGCAATAACAAAACAGTTTTCTTTATTTTGAAATGTTTCTAACATCTTATAGCGTAACCGAACGTTGACGTGGACGTTCTTAAGACAACACTTGAGTTTACGAAAACTAAACGAATCCGCACTTATAACAGATTTGGTTTTGGATTTCAAAGAAATTTATTATGTGAAAGTACATTCGCTGCCAATATGTATTGAACTCAATTTATTTTGCATGATCACCATGGGCACGCTTGCAGAAGTCCAGAGGCTTTTCGACGATTTTCAACCATAAACCGCATAAAACCGTAAATTTTCGGGTTACAATGGTGACTCATGGATTGTGTGGATTGCTGTCTGACCAATAACGCATATTTTGCTTATTGACGAAGCCTTTCAGCGAGAAATAATCCTCATCTCTGAAGATGGTTTTCGATTAATGCGCTAGCGGTAGCAATATTCTCGACACTATGGGCACTTTTTTATCTCACAGGCACGAGAACATTTTGTACACTGCCTGTGGATTCAAATTTTTCCACTAGACGCTCAATTGTTGGTCTAACAGGACAATTATGACGACCATAAATTGGTCGTAGTGCTCTCAAAGTTGAGGCCGCTGAAGCTGAATTTCGGCAGTAAATTTAAAAAATTTCGACTCGCTGTTGGATAGTATATCATTCCTTGATGAAATGGCAAACCTTACTGAAGAAAAATGTCAAAAATCGGGAAAAAATAAGGTGTCGTTTGCTGTCCCTATCGGTCTACTTTTCTAGCCTTCCTATTGGAAAACTCGTTACACAAGGTGCGTTCCAAAGTAAACAGGACTTTTTAAATCAAGCGCACCCTGATGGCGCCATCTATTTATCGACTGATGCGATAGAATCTGCTGTCTTTATCGATTGTTTTTGAGTTTTAAGTGTCAGTATGTTTGTGTTATCGGTGCGAAAATGAGCTTCGAACAAAGACCCAACATTAAATTTTTTTGTTTTAAAGTGGTAAAACTTTTACTAAAACGTTTCAATTGAAGAAAGAAGTTTAAGTCGACTATTGCCTATCCCGTAGTATAGTGTACGAGTAGTTTCAACGTTTTCAAAGTGGTCGTGAGGACATACATGACGATCAACATGTGGGCCAATCAAAATCCGTGATCACCAGAAACTCCATCGAAAATGTGCGTGAATTCATCAAAAATCAGTCGAAATCATAATTGAAATTCATGGAATTGGAATTGAACATCTCCAAAACTTCGGTTTATCGCATTTTGACCGACCATTTGAGCTTACGAAAGGTGGTGCACGGATTGTTCTGCACAAATTGACTGGCGACCAAAAATTGCTTAGAATCCAACATTCGATTCGACGCTTGTGACCGATTATGTGTTCAAAAATCACATTTTAAATATTAGCCACTCCCCGTATTCCCCGTATTCATCTAATTGGGCACCGTGCGACTTCTTCCTTTTCGGAAAATACATTTGTCCATGAAAGGAAAGTGTTATGTAGACGTACTTTTGAACCGTGCAAAAAGCTGCATTGAAGCAGAAGGAGACTATTTTGAATCAATTGATTTTGCCGAAAAAAGCCATTTGATCTGTTCTCTTTTTAAAGTCTTGTTTACTTTGAAAAACACCTTGTACTTATATATACATATATATATATATGTGTGTGTGTGCGTCCAACACTGTAGCATCCGGAAAAAAATTTAAGGATCGTTTATGCCACTACTACCACGTCTATACCTTCGGACCAGTTTAGCTCCTTACAGATATATTTATAACTACTCAGAGAAAATATACAAACCTTGTACTATAATTTTTATAGTCATACATACCCACTTTTTATGGCTACCCGAACAAATCCTTTACGTCTCAAAAATGTCAGCTCATATTGGCCAGGACGAGAGTCTAAAGCCTCCTGTGCACCGCCAACAATAATGAAAACACCATTAGACGTGAAACCATCACCCTGCCAGCGACTGGTCAAATAATGCATTAAAGAGTTTTCCGATACCGAAATAAAGCCGCAAAGGCGCAAATATTCATGCAGGAATGGCGTCAAATAGGTGGCATTCAAAATCGTCTGCCTCGGTCGTATGCCGGGAAATAGTGCGAGCCAATTGTCAATGTCATATGTAATGTTAACGGTGCAGCCATAACTAGTCATAAAAGTAAATAAATTAATTAGCAACTTGAATTAAACTGGAAGACCATACTGATTATGAAAACTTACGTCATAACACCATGTGGAAAAGTCGCGAACACATAATGACGGTTGGCGGGTAAATCTACTGTTTTCACCAATTCGATTGGAAAATAACGCCGTAGTTGTTTCCAAAGCCAGTTACTGCGAAAAAATCTGATGCTTTAAGAAAGAAGTTATTATTAAGTTAGGTGGGCTAAAAAAAAAAAAAAAAAACTACGCGAACGCAACAAAATTCCGTCACGTACGTATGTGCATATATGAATAAATCTGTATTAGGGTGGGTCAAAAACCGAATTGTTTTTTTTTTTTTTTGTTTTTTTGCTTGGTACTCTGAAAAATTGTTTGATAAAGTGATAAAGGGAAGGCTCTCCAATTATAAAATTATAAGCTCTTAATTGTAACGGGAAGGTCCTCCGCCTATCGGTTTCCTAATTTTTTTTTTTTTATTAATTTATAACATTTATGGCCATTTGCATATTGCCATACGGCGAACACCGCAGACGATGGAACGATCAACTGTACGAGATATACGACGACATTGACATAGTTCAGCGAATTAAGAGACAGTGACTACGTTGGCTGGGTAATGTCATCTGAATGAACGAAAACACTCCAGCTCCAGCGGGAAGAAAAGGAACACCTCCTCTCCATTGGAAAGACGAGGTGGAGAAGGACCTGGCTTCGCTTGGAATATCCAATTGGCGTCAAACAGCGAAAAGGAAGAACGAAGAAGAATGGTATGCACGTCAATAAAGAACAAGAAGATATACTAATACAACTCATACACTGGCCGACATATTCAACATAATATTTGTTAGAAAAACGAAAATCATTATATGTAGTAATGGGAGCTGGGGTTGTACCCAATTATACTTATTTTTGCCAATACTTACTACATACTACAATATTAGCATGCCACGTACTAAAAAAAACTGTTGTGTTCCCTGGGTTTCATAAAATACCTATATAGGGTGTAGGTCAAGTTTTCGCCCAATTTTATACATTTTAAACACAAAGATACACTGAGTGTAGTGAGGCTATCTATTTTCATTGATATAACTCACTTATTGGCCGATATATGCTGTATAAAGTAAACCGGAAATTGGAAAACCTTTATATTAAGTGGGTGCTCATGAAAATGTTGGCCCGATTCAACACATTGTTAATACACCGAGATATTATTGTCAGGAAAATATTTTCTCTGAATTTCAATTGTAAATCCCATACATTGACCGGTATTTCCGGTCAAAAGTAAACTATAGATACTGCGGCTTAAACATTTTTGGTTGGATTTGGACAATTTTGGTGATAAGATGCCACACTCTAAAGACACTATTCGTGCAAAGTTTTATCCTGTTATGCGTCTTGATTTGTATACTGGAAAGTGAAAGAATCGAATGTGACATAGGAATGTAAGAAGAATGCCACGGAGTAGCCGAAATCGGTGGGTCCGATAATTTAACATAAAATTGGGCGGTACCGCCTTCATCGTCCCCAGCTCCCATAAAGCCCCCTCATACCATCTCCTGTCTAAAATCTGAAGTATTGAGTTATTGATGTATAGCACTTTTAATAGTTTTTAGCAGTACCGTTATATGGGGAAAGAACCAGGTTATTTTCCGATTTCATCCACAGTGTAGATAGTGGTAAGGGATTTGTCGTGAGCAAATTTTATTAGTGTAGCTTAAGTAGTTTTCTTGCTGCTACGATAACCAATGCCAAATTACAGTTTTGTATCTTAGTGCTTAGTTATGGTCTTTTATATGTTTTCGATTAATGGCATTTTGTGACCGTTACAGTGGTCCGATTACGTCCATCTACTAACTCCACCTTACTTTCTTGCCAAGGAACATGTGTAAGAATTTCATTAAGATATCTCAATTTTTACTCCAGTTACAGCTTGCACGGGCTGACGGTCAGACACAGAGAGTCAACCGTATTTCAACTCGTGTCGTCATCCTGATCATTTGTATATATGTATGTATATAGTAAGTATATAACCCCATGTCTATTTCGATTAATTTTAGGTGTTACATACATATAACCGTTAGGTGAACAAAACTATTATATTCTGTGGCACATGTTATATTGCCACTAGTTTTTAACTTTCATGCAATAAAACTGAAATTTTCAGTAATATTACGATAGGGCCACCAAATTAAAAAGTTTAAAAAAGCTTTAAAAAATAGTAATGTTGCCACTTTTTTAAAAAGTTTTTGGAATAAAATTATTATGAAAATTTTATTTTTGCAATAATTTAGGAGTTTTTTTTTTATAATTTTATTTGCATTCACATTTTATATAAAACTAGTTTACTAATTTAAGAAAAAAGCCGCCACTAGCTTAAATGAGCTTACAATTGGAAAAAGAATTTTGAGTGTTACCATATGCTTAAAAAAATTTGGAATTGGATTGATTAGAGAAACGAATTTATAACATGAAGATAAGATAAGAAAACAAATATGTAGCAACAAAAATAACAAAAAGAAATTGGAAAAAAAAATTTAGCGTTGCCACACGTTTAAGAAGTTTTCGGAATTAAATTGATTTGAAAAACGATTAATAATAATAAGATAAAATAAAAGAATAAATATGTAGTAACGAAAAAAAAAATTTTTTTTTTTGCTTATTTAAGAAAATCAGCTGAAACTTATTTCAAATTTTCATCCAATACAATTTATGAAAAAAAAAAAACTTAAAATAAATTAAATAATTAAACTAATTTTCTCACCCATTTCCCTTGATGTTCAAAATGAATTTCGCGCTTGATATGTGAATATAACAAATGTAGAGAAGCATTGTTATTCTCCCAAAGAAGTTGCCATACAGCTAAAATAGTTTATATAAAAAACAATTTATAATAAATAAATAGTTACTCACAAGTAATCCAAGGGCCAGGATCCAGCAAAACGAAAATAGGATTGTGATTACCAACAAATAAATTAGCGCAGCAAGTGCGCCCATAAATTGCCGAAACCCGTGTCCTTGCTCTATATTGGCCATTTTTTAAAGAGATATTTTTGCTTTAAACTTAAAATGTACCAACAACTTTTGTGTCACAACTGAAAGTGCTTATATCAAACTACCAACCATTGGCTCGCACTCCAAATACGAAAACAAAGTGCATACTCAAGCAATGGTAAAAACTCAGGCTTTTAAGTTAATCAAACTAATTAGTCACATAGCTGCATGCTTATTCTGCAGCTTTTATTAATTTTTTTAACACAGTTTTTATAAATAATAGATCAGACTTTTTGCAAACCAATTTACAATTAAAGTCAGTAACAAAAACAAGTAAGGAAAAACTAGGTTCGAGAAACATTATATTTAATTAACACGAGAAACATTATATTTAGCAATTAATTTAATTATAATAACACACATATTGTAATTGTATATATGTATGTACATACTTAAATCCTTTAAAGTCAGTTGAAAAACCATTTAGCAGAAATCATTTACTTATGACTTAAAACTAAAGCAAGCTCGAGAACATATTTCCACAAACTTCATTAATATAACTCGAAATTTGACACATGTGGATGCTAAGGGAAGTTTTGAATTTCAATAAGATCTCTCGCAGTTCTGTTAATCCGATTTTGCCATAGTAAGAAACACAGAAACGATAAATCGATTAAATCGGGAATAGTTACGCAGCTGTTTTTTTTACCCTTGGCTGGATAAAATGGAATAATTCCGGTGCGTAGAACCAGCTGTCGTGGGAATTGAAGAATGTCCTGCATAAAACTAGTGGGCACGCAAAAAAAGAAGGCAGGTGCTCATTGCTGAAGCTCAAAAGCATTAAATCAACAGCAACCAACTTACATCGCTGAGAGGTTAAGCATGGTCAATTGTTTGAATTCAAATTTCTCTATTCACTTAATACCCTTTTTAATAAGATCCGAAGCCGCAAAAGTTTACCTTTTCCTAGTGCATTACAGCGACCTCCGCTGGATATTGGTAAAATTAGTTGTATGTCGCATCTGGATCAATTTACTTTTAATTTCTAGAGTCGTTCCGTACAGTAAATTTCAGCAATTTTTTTTTTTTCTCTTTTGACTACTGAAAACATGTGTGAAACAATAACAATTTGGCGGTTCTTGCCGTTGCATATAACCATATTTCGTGAGAAGCATTATGAATATTGCGTCAATACGCTGTTTAAAATCTGCTAAAAATTATTTGTGTTATAATACCATCCATTTCCGGCTGATCAAAACAAAAATTTGACAGTACAGTTTTGTTGGTGTAAACAAAATTCAGTATCCACGGTTATTGTATGCATTCACGATAGAGATTTAATATAAAATTATAATATACACCAATCTTATACTTTACTGCGCTTGAAAATAAGTTATAATAATCAAACTGTAAATACTTACTTTTCTGAGTGTTTTTGTTTAAGGCCCAATATACATTTGAAATGCATAGACATTTTAACTCACGATTCGATCTTTATAACTGCATAATATAATGATGAAAGCAGAAACCGATTGGTTCAATATATTAGATTAGTGTCCTACTTATAGTCATATTAATCTGAGTTGCTGTCGAAATATTATTCATAAATTGAATTTGAATTGGAGTCCACAAATTTAACTCCCTACACTGTACCATTGTGATTTACTCGATGATTTACGTTTAAAACTTGTATTTTAGAAAAAGCGGCAACCCTAAAGAATCCTTCAATTTTGAATTTAACCAGTCGCCTGTCATTATTTTTGTATTTACCCCGCGCCAATTCGAACTACAATAATTCTGTAATTTTCTTTTACTTTACAGTTAATCGTACAATAATTTTGTATTTGTTTAGAAATATTGGTGAACTGAAGCGGTTTATAATGTCAAATTCATTATCCGATCATAGTTCGCTTGGTAGCATGTGTGAAGAAGTGCGCCCGTCTTTTCTACGTGCGCGTGATCCATCCGTAGATCGTTGTTTTCGGCCACGACCAGACCGACAAGTAAGACTATTCGATGAAATAAAAGAGGAAGGCCAAACCGAATATAGTAGCGATGCCGACGTTTCATCATCTTATGAAGACATATCCGTACCACTAAGTGAAGCAAGCACTGATCTAACCACAGACACAAATGCTGCTTTAGTATATTTACGTTTGAAACCAGTTACACAAATATCAACTTCGTATACAATTTCAACGGCGGGTAATGTGCTTATAACTGGGCCTCCAAATGATGCGTCAACAACAAGCAATAACAAAAGTAAAATGGAACAGCATTATAGTTTCTCAGCAGTGTTTGATAGCGCCGTAAAACAGGATGAAGTGTATCGTATTTGTATAGCACCACGCATTGAAAATCAGACTGACAGCTTTACAGTGCTGACATACGGCACCTCGGGTTCGGGCAAAACATTCACATTGCTCGGTAAGTAAGATTTGTAAGTATTACTAAGATAAGAAATAAAGGGAAATTTATTACCCTTAGGTACGCCCAGCAAGCCAGGCATTGTGCCACGTGCCGTAGAGAATATATTCCGTATGAATGCGTCCAATATTTACCCACAACCTGCACTTAAATTAGAGAAAGGTTGTGCCTGCATTTTAGACGATGAAGCGCTAGCCCGTGAAGAAAACATGCGTCAGACGTTGCTGGAGTCATGCGTTGGACTAAACGCAGACCATGAGCTGCTGGAGAAAACGATAAAATCAGAGCATGACTTTCAAACTATAGTGCAGGATGAAGTATCCGTATTCATTTGGATATCATTCGTGGAAATATACAATGAATTGGTATTTGATTTGTTAGCACCACCGCCACAACAGCAAAAAACCAGCCAACAAATGGTCCCACCACAACGAAAGGGTTTAAAAATTGTTACAAACGACGGCAAAGTTTTCATACAAGGTCTAACCTCAGTGTATGTGAAATCGTGTTCGGAAAGCTTGAAATTATTACACTGGGGTCTACAACATGTTTCTTATGCATCCACTTCAATTAATGCTAACTCGAGCCGCTCGCATTGTATATTTTTTATTGACATAATTAAATACTACAGCACCGGTGTGGTTGTCGATGTAAGTCTTTGAAGTTTGCTATAGCTACATGGTTATGCTTAAAAGACTAATTTTATTTTCAGACTTCCTACAAATTCTGCGATTTAGCAGGTTCTGAACGTTTGAGTAAAACACGTAACGTTGGTTCGCGTCTCAACGAAGCTAAAGGTATTAATACGTCACTTATGACTCTTGGGCGCTGTCTGGATGCAGCTAATAATAATAAAAAATTGAAAACCAAGGGCCAGGTGATACCAGTGCGTGAATCGAAATTAACAATGTTATTACAAAGTGCATTGTTAGGCAAAGAAAAGCTCACAATGATAGTGAATGTCACACCCATGGACACATTTTATGAAGAAAACATGAATGTGCTGCGATTTTCTGCAATTGCTAAGAATATTACATACAAACAGCCGCCAAAACCAGTGAATAAGTCGCGTTATTCGTTTGTCGTTGAGAAGGCTAAGTCAGCTGCTGAAGAGAACATATTGTAAGAATGTGGAAATTAGTTAATTTTTTAATTTTTTTTATTCAATGAACATATCTCTATTAATATCCCGCACAGTTTACGCAGCGAAGTGGAGCGTTTGCAATCGGAAATGCAATATCGTCTACTTGAACAAGAACGGATTTTGCGCAAGGAACTGGTCGAATCATTTGAGAAAAAATTGGAGGAAAAGCAGAAGGATCACGAGCAAAGCTTGAAGCATGAACTACAAATGCAGCAACGTTTGCATGATTTAAAGGTATAAAATTATAACAATTTCAAGATTATTGTGTTGCTAAGCATTTAACTTTTTTCTCATTTTAGATCGCTGCGCTCAAACGACAATATGAAAATCAAATTGAAGATCTGCGCGATCAACTCGAAGAAGAGGAAACAGAAAAGAAGCGTCGTACATTAGAATAACAGTAGATAAATTAGAATCACTATTTAAATATATTTGTGTAGAGTATCTTTTGTTATGTTAGTTAAACTTTATTACATTTATTGTATGTACTTTTAAATTATTAAAATGTAATTTCGTTTGCCTACTTTTTATACTGACACCGTGCCACTTTTTTAAATATTATATGGAAATCGAAATTTTTTTCTTAAAATACGGTTGTTAACGGCTAATTTAGTTTTCGATTCGGCTTTGAAAGTGTCAATTCTAAAATGTTTTTTTTTTCTGTAGAGATAATTGCTGTCATTCTACATATTAGTTGCCGTTTTTTGTTTTACCAAAAACGAAACCAAGAAAACAGCATTAACTTTGGTACTTCACAAATAAAGAAGATTGTATACAAGAAATTTATATTCGGTCAGTTTATATAACATACTATAGTGACCCGATCTGGACTATTTCTTCGGAGATTGTACCGTTACCTTAAATATTGTTCCATGTCAAATTTTCTGAAGATATCGTGTAAATGAAAAAGTTTTGCATGTTAGGACGTAATTTTGATCCTTCAGTTTTTATGACAGCTATATGCAATATATGCACCGATATCGCTTCTTGGAAGGAACAAAAACTGAGGAATTAGCGCCAAGCTGATAATTAATATATTTATTTTATAGAGTTTCCCACGTTTCACGGGGCTTACAAAATTCGTTGCAAACTTAACATACCCAGTTCGGGGTTTAATCATAATTAACCATTTGCCTTACTAATCAAGTTTTAATTTTAGTTTATAAAACACTCACATTACAGCATAATTTTTATTACAATTTATTTACAGCTTCAACAACTTTTCTATGCTTGTGGCAAAGCTTTAGGACCTTTCTCCAAGACAGTCTTTATAGTCTTCATCATAGTTGGTATAAGGCCGATATGTCTATCCACACATGCCACCGTACAATATTCGAAATGATGTTGATATTTGGCGAGTTCTGCTTCTCCAGGATTTAATGGCAGCCTTTCTCGAGCATCTTCGCTGCATTTCTTAAAATTGTATGTAAAAACAATTGTAAATGCAAAATACAAATAAATACAAGTTTTAAAAGCACACCATAACACAATTTTGCAAACGTCCTTGAAACTGTCCCAATTCATGCTGCAAATAGTCCTGAGCTTTAGTAAGCGGGACGGCGCAACCCTCAATGCAAGTCTGCACGGAATCTAAGGTTCCACGTTGGTCGTCGCAACATTTAGATGCACATAAATGCATTTCTGACTGGCTTAGACAAATTATTCGAGTGAAAGCTGTCTTTACAAAAAAATACTGAGCGTTGCTGTATACCAACCTGCATTTTGCGTAAGTGACTTGAATACATTTCGTTGATCATATCAGATACGGCGCGTTCTACGCGTTTACGTTGTTGTTCTATCATTTACGAGTGAATACCCTTAAGCGGGAAGTTGAACGATATTTATTTACGTCGATTTGTTTGTCTTACACATTAGCTAAAATTTATTTGCCTACGATTTGTTAAATTTGAATTTTCATTGAAATAAACTATTGCCAAAATAGTTGTTTGACATAAATTCTAAATGCTTTTCTTTATTACTCCACATTTATATTTTTTAACAAACAAAACAACTGTTCCATACTTTTTACTGTGCAATTTTTGTTTGAAATATAATTGTGTTTAATTATTACACACATTTTAAAAACGTCAATGATTAGACATGCCCACTAATATCTTTTTTAAGTCAAGATATTCATCAATATTTGAGAGTAGTGCTGGTTGTGCTGACAACTAAACTTGAGGTATGGACTCTGGACCTTTCGCCAAGACGGATTTTATTGTTTTCATCATAGTAGGTATTAGTCCGACATGCTTGTCTACACACTGTATAGCGCATCGTTCAAATTGGTCGGTATACTTGGCAATATCAGATTCGGAGGGATTTGGCGGCATTTTCACCTTCACATCATCGTTACATTGCTTAATAGAGAAAGATTTGGCTCAAATTGATTTTCTTTAAATGTAGGATAAGTAAGCAATCAGGCTTACCATAACACATCGCTGCAGGCGCCCCTGAAATTCACCCAACTCGTGTTGAACATAGTTTTGAGCGCGTGTCAATGGTGCCGAACACCTATCAACACATCTCTGAACACTGTCAAGGCTGGAATTCATATCCTGACAACATTTTGCCGCACATAAATGCATATCTGTCTACAATTATATTTCGAAGATCACATAAGTTACAGGGTAAACATTTAGTTTTTCACCGGCTCACCTGCATTTTACGTAAATGAGTTTTATCCATATCGTCTACCATCTCTGTGACGGCTCGTTCAATGCGTTGTCTCTGTTGTTCGATCATATTAACAATTTAATTAAAAATTTAACAAAATTACACAATAATTGTTGTAAATTGCATTTGAGGTGTTATGAGTAGAAAACCAGAAAACGTGCAGCGATTGCAACAGCTGATTAAGAGAAAAATTGGATAAATGTCAAACTTCAGATATACGTCTAATCAGCTGACAGCAGTGCAACCGGGCTGAGCAAAAGAAAAAGATCTAAAAACATTGTAGTATTTCAATAGTATATCGATGATAATAATATTTCAGAAACATAAGTTGCGGAAAAAAGTTCTGTGAAATGTTGTTTAGAATGCCATTATAAATAGTTAATTCAAAATCTGAAAAGTAAACAATTTTTTTTTAAATTTTGCCAAACCTATTTAAATGCCTTGTGCGCAACCCCATCAGCTGTTGTTAAAGTCGAATAAGCTTTTGACATAACACTTCATAACCTAAAATAAATTATATTCTACTACGAATCATTATATTTACTATTTTTGAACCAAAAATGTATTCCTTGTACAAAATAACCACAGTAGCCGTTCGCGCTGCACAAATACCAAATATATTACCACATTCATCAAACTTACACAAAAAGCTGGCCCTTCGAACGTTGTGTACAAACAAGGGTATAACAGAAGACACTCAAAATGCCATTGTTGAAAAGGAAGCAGTGGCGAGTGGTGCAAGTGCAAAAAGTGGTTTTGCACTAGCTTTTGAAAAGCACACGGAGGCGGCTACTAATAAACCTGAAGAAGTTGTAGACGACGAAACGTTTGCTGCATTGTTAAGAAAATCAAAGTTCATAGATGTAAGTAATCAGTGATCATTCTTTTAAAAATAATAAAATACATATTTTAGTTAGGGGATCCCGAGGGCAAGATTGTCAGCGGAAAGATCTTTCACGTTGTTGGGGATGATTTATACATAGATTTTGGCTGGAAGTTCCATTGTGTATGCACACGTCCGGCACGCAACGGCGAGTAAGTACAAGTGTTAAAAAAAGTATGTGTGTGTTTGTAATTTACACTTTTAGGGACTATGTACGTGGAGCACGAGTGAGGTTACGCATTAAAGAATTGGAACTCTCAACAAAATTTTTGGGTTCAGAAAAGGATTTGACTATTTTAGAAGCCGACTGCCATTTACTTGGCCTGTTATCATCCCCAGCAAGGCAAAGCACAAAGTTGATTAATGTGAATTAAAAACAAAATGTATGTGCATCAAATATATTCGTAATCAAATTGGTATATAAATAAAGTTTACTACTTAATTATAAAACTTTTATTATAATACTTTAATATATTACGACGTCAACTATACATTACACTGTTTGATTGGTCTATCTTCTTACATTGAAAAACTTCATAATGGTGATTTAACTCCCTGACTGCATGCAGCTTCAAGCGTGTAACCAATGCACCATTATTAGAGCATTTTTCGAAATAAACTCTGCGCGCTCGACTGTGTACAAGTGCCATAGCACACATTAGGCACGGTTCTTGGCTTAAATACAAATCATATCCAGTACATAAATATGGGCCATATTTTTCTAAGTTATCCACATTTTGAGTGGTATTTTGCTCACTGACATCACATTTTATTTTAGCTCTCGGTAATTCTGCACCAATTTGTATATCCTTAAATCTCTTATCGGTTCGTATGAATTCTAAAATTCCTTTGGGAATACCACTTAAGACGGGATTCACTTTTATATCATTGTAAATATCTTCGTCGATATTTTCGAATTCATGCGAAACCTCCTTTCGCCAAGCGCCACCATCTTGTGTACGTGCTACGAAATCTACAAGCACCATTGGACAATGCATTACTGGACTAATTGATGTTCCACTACTTGCCAAAGCAACAACTCCCCTAGTTCTTGGATCAATGCAGATACCACACGGTTTGCTATGTTGCAACTCATTTGTAATAGCTTCCAACAACTCCATAATTTTTGAATGGAATTTTCGCTCTTTCTCACTAAATATACTACCATTGTGGAGTGATTCCATATATTTGTCTGGATGAAATTTGCAAGGCCAACATGCTTGCGCCAGCTCATATTGCCAACGGAGCAGGGGCGGTAGAGAGGGAACATCACCCTCACGTACGTTTTTGCACAACAGATTAACCACATCATGACTAAGTCCCGCAGATTCAAAGTACTGATTTACGCTTTGTCCATTTAAATCATTAACTTTGCACAATAGAATATCCTGTTGTCGTACACGTTTTAAATGCTGCAAGTTCATTTGTTCTAGAGGTAGCATTTTAGATAGTTCCTGCATTACATTTGATATATGGCGCTTATTGTCCAATTCGCTTAGGTAAACTCTAACACGTGGAACCTCTTTGTAGTATTCGTCAGTCAATATGGCAGAGGCATACCACTCGGGATTGTAACTTAATTTCAATCGTTTTATTGACCGAGATTTTTCGTCCATCATAACAAAACACCGCTAAATCAAATATGAATCAACAAGAGTTAAATCAAAAAATTATATACAATATGTACATAAATGAATATATGTATTTTAAGCTAATTGCTTTTGTGGTTCGTCCTCATTTTCTAAACAATTATAACCAGCTGTTTCATCAAAGTCACCATTGAATCAAAACAGTAACAGAGAACGCCAAAAGAGGACGCTCTGTTGAACTTTGTAGGCCATGGTGAAATTAAGCTACGACCGTAAAGTTCTAAAATTTTTTCAACGAAACCGCTTCGTGTGACTCAACAAATCATTTTTAATAAATTAAATTATGTATTTATTTATTCTTTAATCATTCAAGTTTTCACATTTTTTTACGAAACCGAATGTTTACAAATCAAACCTCCTACGTAATTTTTAAAATGACTTAGAGCACTGACACCTGTGCATCAAATAAAAACAAACAAGTCAAAAATCACCCGATAAATAGAGAGAAGAAGCAGTAGTAATAAATGCTGCCACCTTTAATGACAAAGTGTGTATTCGTTATTATTATGCAATTTCGTTTAAAAACTGAATAAAAAATATAAAACAGAATCAATGGATTGATTTCTTAATTTTCAAAACTTATGCTTTTTACTTCATATTGACTTGATACCTCGCAGATAGTGCTAATGGTGTTATTGTAAAAGCGTCACAATCGTCACAATTTGGACAGTGGCATCACCGGCAATCCGATGATAAAATTTGGCAGCAACAAAGTTGTTGAGGAGCTTCATTTGGTGAAATTGACAAATTGATTGTGAAGAAATCAAACAACGCAGCAGTTTTAATTTTAATAATCAATAATCATAACATAAAATAGCCTTTAAATAATTCAACCGACATCACGTGCAAGTGTTTGAAAGTTATTTTTCTCGGCAACAACAACCTGCCCTCACCTCGCTTTACAAACTACCGTTCTATCAGTGCACCTGAATTCTTAATAAGTGGGCCTGGTGGACCGGATAACAGTTATTTTTTCTACATATATGTATAGTGACTAAAAAAAAAGAACGTCAATAACAATTTGATACAACAGTGACGTAGACGAAGCGAAATGGAAATCGGTGAGTAAAAACGCGTATTCCGCTAACAAAACTCATATAATCGATGAACAATTACCGTGCGTCGACCCACCCTTCCCTTCATTAATTACGGTTATGTTAATGTTGTTTTACCAGCGGCTTCAATAAGAGAAATAATTTATTTTGTATGTAAAATGTGGTGATGTTTATTTAAAATATTCATGTGCGCCGTGTTTACACAATGTTTTGTTATCAAATGACATTGCAAATTAAAACAAAGTATATTTTCCACTTACTATAATGTGCCAAAAACGACCACCGCCCCATCGCACTACCATCTCCTACATCTATTTGGGTTTTGCACTTTCCCAATGTTTACAACGTTCGTGTGTTTATTTTCATGATATTGTCGGTACTCACCGGCTGTAGCCATAAAAACTCGCTAGTCGTTCATTCGCTCTCAAAAGTCGCGCCACCATTTACGCCGGGAGCACTAATTGACCTTGGATTCTTATTGGATGTTGAGGCTCGCGCCATTTCTACGTTAACGTGCTAGTGCTACCAGATGTAATGCGAAAAATATGTTCTAAATCATTTTACGTTGCGAACAGTGGGTAGTTTTGAAATTAGAAAACAAGTAATAGTTGTGAGAATAATGTCATAAATAATTACGCTATTTTATTGGTTGCTGTCTTTCTTTCTTACATGTTTGGAATTATTAATGCCCCGTGTAGTTCTCTTAGTTTTTCGAACTTGCAGCTATAAATAATACTATACAATTTCCGAAACAAATATTTTATTTATTTAATAACCGTTGACTTCTTATATAAATAACGATATCTTCATTCTGTTGACATTTATGTGGAAGTGCATGCAAATACACATATACATACATACTCATGCACATAAAGTTCTGATTCGAATATAGTAAATAAAAAACTTTATAAAAATATTGTTTTTGTTTTTACTTAAAATATTCTGTTCTATTTGTAAAGATTTAATAGAAAACATTTAATGATTACTACTAAGGGCAAGTTAGACTTACTATGTTAAACCGAAGGAATGTTTGTACAACAACATTCTATCGGTTTTTTAATCAGTGAGTAGTTTTCAAAAGTATAGTTTATATTAATAATAATCTCCCCAAACAAGTTTGTGCAATGCTCTTGAGTAACAGACTTTGGCCAGATATAAATCACGTTCCGTTCCGTTTTAAGGAGAATTAACTAAATCGGAAACGATATGTTGCAAAAAATCACAATTTTCTATAATAATTACTACCGGAAATAATATCTAAAATAATATTACGACTATCCAATAATTAATGATTTTTAAAAAGTAGATAAAAAGAGTATATAGAAAGCTTAGCTGAAATAAAAGTTTTGTTTATAAGAGCAGCTTATTTTTTATAAAGAAATTTAGTTTTATTAGTTTTTGTAGACTATAACAATATGTACATACATAGCGATTGATCGCATGATTGGAAGCTGTTTAAGTTCATGTTTCTATTAATATGGTCGCGTGTAATCAGTATATGAACACATGCCTATGTGTAGTGATCACAGCAATTTTATAAGAATCACCTCATCAGCGTTTGCCTTTGATTGTGCTAGACGAATGTGTCTAATCTCCACACCGTCCGACATTGACATTGTTGATGTATCACCATGCTTCTGTTATTCTCTTATTTTGCATTTTGTGCAGCAAAAAGAAATAATGTTCAATATATAACGAATAATATTTCGCGGTTTCGTTATCAATATTGAAGGCTAGTACAAATGTGGTATAATTGTATGGGTGCACGTTGCTAACGACTAAAAATTATATAATATTAAATCAAAAAAGTACTATAAGTATGACTATAAGTTTGTAGTATCTGCTCTGCCTGGGTAATTATTATATTGCAATTTAATCAAGGCACGCGTATGTTTTTTTGTGTCGCATTGATATGTACTATGTTAGTACAAAAGCGTACAGGTATATCTACATTCATTTAAATATTTTTAAATGCATGAAATTCGTACAACTGCGTTTTTTAATTTTTTTTAATTAGCTGGAATGAGTTTGGCGCAATGGTTGATATCGGACCAATGTAGCATATCGCTGCCATACAATGTGATGGACCCAAATCCTATTCCCACGACAGCCGGTTCTACGTTACCGGAATTGACTCGGATTTCATCCGACCAAGGGCTGTTTTTTCGGCGATCTAACCCCGTTTGGATCGGTGAGTGTTGATTTGTGTGTGTTATCACTGGAGCAACGCCTTGCAGCAGGGTTGCTCCGTATCCTCCTGACTCGTGCTGGCATTGAGTCCAACCCGGGCCCGGAGGAATTCTTCTGCTGCGTTTGCGC